ACTCCCAGTTACATAACAATAATTGTCTTCGTCTTACACCACATCCTTTCTCTGTGATACACTTTACTGGAAGGAAACTTGCTCCAGATTTCGGACATATAAAGCCTCTTTCATTGTTAAATCAAGCACCTCTCCTTTACCTAATGCACAGTGGAAATTTTCAGAGTCTCTCCCAGCTGAGGTGATCTTTTGTCCATTTGCCAAATAAATGGTAAATTTATGCTCATTAAGTTCAATTAACCTCTTTTTCTCTTTAATGAAATTAGAACTTGTGGCACAATCAAAACAGATGCTATCTGGTAGTCCATTTGTTCTTGCTTTCATTGCTTGATCTCCTTCTGGCCTTTTTTAATACTGGGCTGAGATGAATCATTCTATGGAATGCAGTCTAATGGGTCTGTCATTTCTCACTTTCCTAGGACAAATGACTTGCAGATGATTCAAGCCATTGCAAATGAAAAATTCCTTTCTTTTCTTCTGGCCTTACAAGCAGATTCTTCACTGAGAACTGCATTTTGTACTTGAGATTTATACAGATTACAATCTTGCAAACAATGCATTACAGAATTAATATCAGTTTCCTCTTTCATTTCTATTGCATGTACCACAGCTTGGTAACTTCTAGCAAATGAACTTAAAATGAAGGCAACAAGCATTTCTTTTCCTTCTAGTTGCTCAAGGTGGGTGCTCTCTCTCTGCAGTTTTAGATTGAACTGTACTCCAGACACTTGTTGTATAGCCTTCTGTAAAAAAATCACCTTACAGGCTGTGGATTTTTTCTCAAATAAATCTGAGCAGATTTCTCAGTTATCTTTGGTCTGATTTAAATTTCTTAAATGCACAATAATGGAGTCACTCACCACCAGGCATATTATTCCAGATGCTTTGTGATCTGCTGCATCCCAGGTTCCTCATGACTGCCCTGATTTACTGAGCCTCTCTTTGTCAAGCAAAACGATGATTCCTTGAGACTTAAAGACCATTTCCTCTTGAAGAGCCAGAAGGAGAATTTTGGTCCTTCCAGCTTCTCCCTGGGCTGAAATTTTTCTGACTCTATTTCTGAAAGTTGTCTGTTTCCTTTTCTAAACTTTCCCTTCAGGAGAGAGGTTCACCTCTTTCTTTTATGGAACCTGTTTAATACCTTAACTGTGGTCATTGGAGACTAGGATTTTGTTCAAGGTTGAAGTGTTCTCCCTGTGTGAGAGAGAGATTTCTTGAGAATGGGAATCTAATCTGAGCAATGATCAGTGAAACAGGTTTTATAACTGTAACAGGAGATTTATGTACAGGAAATATATAATAGAAATAGTCAGTGTAGTACCAAGCTAGCTATATTATTCCCAGGCATGCACACCCAAAGCATGTGTTCTTTTGACTCTCCTCCTGAAGAGATGTAGCTTAACAGATGCTAGGCTTTGCTGAGCTCTATAATGTACTTCTTGTTATGTAATCTTCTTAATGTTATAGTTATAAAATCTGTTTTACTAATCCTTACAGGTACACTGATATGCACACCCAGAACACTTCAACCTCCAATAAACAGTTTATCTGTTAAACGAATTTCTGAAAATTCTGAAACAGTGCCATTTATATTTTGTAAAATATAAATGTAAAACCTGCTTCATGAATCATTACTCAGGTTAGATTCTTGCTTTCAGGAGCAAGATTTAATACTGTAATGTAATTACTAAGGGTAATTAAGACAAGAACTAATAAAAATAATCAGAATGTTATACAAAAAGAAATAACACAGGATGCAATTTTGTGCAACTTTTTATTTTAGTTCAAAATATGTGAATTGAACTTATTAGATTACATTCTATATGCATTCCAAATTGCATGAGGAAAAAGCAAGAATAGTGAGAATATGGAGTAGAAAATGCAAAGGGGGAAGCACCAGATGACCATATTCCACTTTGTGTATGTTTGACTTTGAAATAAGCCAGAATCTTTATTGCATTCATGGACGATAGTGTCAGCTGTAAACACACCAACTAGTGAAAACAGTGGAAGGAACAGATATGGTACTCTGACTATATAAAACATTAAGACAGGACTTCTCTATTATCTTGAAGATAGACTTCTAGATTGAGAAGATGGGCAGTAGAATTGATATATAACATTATTTTCCCTGCCAAGGAGGTGAAAAAAGAGTTAGAGGAAGAGAATGTTATGAGAATAAACATTTAATAGTAATATGGTCTATTTGTAAGTAATCATGTGCTAGGGATTTTACACAACTTTTCACTTGGATTCATAAGTAACTTCGTGGGAAGTCCTATTTGATTGGAAAATTATTACATTTATTTTGGCCCACCTCATAACTTCCATTCAATTAGATGAAAAATAAATTGGAACTTTTTAATTGCAGGAATGGCCTCCATCCAAAGCTATTTCTTACAGGTATGGCTATACTTTTTAAAAGAACTGTTCTTCCAGTGTCTCCTGAGTTCCCAGCATCATGAATAACACTACAATCCATAAATTAAACTCTCAAATTACAAGAGGAATGTGGAATACCTATATCTGTAAAGCTGCAGCATAAACACACCAACTAGTAAAAACAGTGGAAGGAACAGATATGGTACTCTGACTATATAGAACATTGAGACAGAACTTCTCTATTATCTTGAAGATAGACTTCTAGATTCAAAATGTATTTATATATCTCAAATATATTATTTATATATTTTAAATATATTTATATAATTCGAATATATTATTTGAAACAAATAAATAAATACGTAAATAAGTAAATAAGTGCTCAGTATTGGGAGGCCCCATCAGCAGTTTTAGACAGGAGATATAAGGGCACTGCATTCAAATCTAGACTACACCCATGTGGAGAAGGAGCCACTGAAACCATTAGACATATCTTACTATACTGCTTGTTATATGTTGACATCCACCTTGAGCTGATTACCCCACACCTAACCAAATTCCCTGGTATTTTTATCAGTTTTATTGATAACTATTACTATCAGACTCAAATGACTCTATTTCTTTAAGTCGGCCCAAATTTGTCATGTATTATGTAAAATGTATAGCAATTTGATTGGCACGCTTATCTAATTTCATAACTAATATTAGTTTCACGTATGTAAAGTGTTTTATGGCCTGGTCATTGACCATGACTGGTCTCTCTTTCCCTCTGCACTGGAAAGAAATAATGCCAATTAAGCAGAAAGTTTGCATATCATTCTTTATCAGCACCACCACTGGTGGCTATTTTCTTTAATTAAATAGCAGGTTAAAGAATGGAAAGAAATATGACAAAGAAAAGAAAATATAAAAATCTAGAAACAAATACCACTCTTCTTGCATCACTATGAAAAAAAATTGTTCCAAAGACTGCTAATTTATTTTGTATTCAATTGCAGTAACTAGAGACAACCAAGATAGAGTAATTTAGGTTTGTCTATCTTTCATAGGAATGTTTCTTTTCCTTCATTTTATAATAACAAAAAAAGAAAAAAACAAAAAGGAAGAAAACAAAAAGATACATACATTATCAAAAAGAACCAATTACATAACAAGTGCTTAAAGAAATAAGTGGAAAAAATATAACAGAAAAAATAATAATAAAAAAGAAAATATAAAGTATAATATGTTGTTACAATAAACAGTTACAATTATATATATATAATGCAAATAGTACGCAAGTATGTGTGTGTGTGTATACACACACACACACACACATACAGTTGCATACTATAATATGTAGTATTAATAATACAATTATATAGCTATCGTGCTTTTTCCTAACCTACTGTATTTTGTATAAATGAGTCCCATATTTCATTATACGTGTCCACACAATGTCTGTGTCTACAGGCAATCTGCTCATAGGTGGCAAGTATAACATCAGCCTTATAAGGTGGACCAGATGAAGAAACAGACACCATGTAAGCCTAAAACTACTTTTATTAGAGCAGAATCTTGCAAGTTCCCCTCCTCCCTCTTATATTTTCATGTGAATTAGGGGAGCACCTGACTTAGGTATTTTCATAAATCTCTATCTTTGTATGAGCTTAAGTCACATTTATGTGTTTGCTGCCTTGGTAACAGATCTTCCCCCTCTCTCTACACTTCTCAGAACAGCCTACTCCTCTCCATTATTATATTTGAAACTACTTTTAAAATTTGTCTTGGTTGGTAGCCTAACTCTGAGTAGGGGATTTTGCTGTTTGAGTACCTCAGAACTACCTGTATCTCCCTAATCTGTGATATATTGGAAAGAATGCACAGTTATTCTACTGAGGTAAATGAAGTCTATTAATGCATGTTATGTAATATTATCTGATCATAGATAGAAAGGATCCTTGCAATCTATCCAATTTCAAAATCTAACAGTTAAGATGTTATTTATAGTTCAGTCTCTCTTCTCTAAGTTGAGAATTACTGTTGAGTCTATTATTAAAACTTATATTTAGGATCCTCAAAGTTCCATTCTTATCATTATTCCTTTCTTTCTGCAGTTAAGCCTTTAAAAAGCTTACCCTCCATGGGAAAATACATTATTGTAATAAAGTAGCAACACAAATAAAACTATGCAGTATAGGAATAAGCAAAAGATAATCTTGTACATAAAACATTGCTACTGGATTTTAATAAAATATGTTACATGCTTCAGTCATTGCCCATCACATCCAGGTTTTGTGATTATAGAATATGTATAAAAATCTTGTTCCTTATGAATGATTTCTGTCCTTATTAATAATTTTACAGTGAAAAACCTTATCAAGGTATTAAAACAATAAATATGGACACATATTTAGAGCTGTGTCTTCCTGCAATCGTCTAGCACAATTCTCCCAGGCCAATTTCTGCTTACTATTATACAAGAGACTATGAATTCTAAACAACAGCCTTCTTTCTCATCAGGATAATCAGTGCAGTTGACTAATATCTTTCTGATGCTTCAGAAGCCATCATATCGTTAGGACAATAATAACAACAAACATTATTTTGAAAGAAAAATATCTCAGAATTTTTTTTACCTCATAGAGGTGTTGAACAAATTTTATGAAGATAGGTAGTACAAGAAAATGATGGTATTTCTTTGGCACTATAACGTCCTTTGCAATATATTTTTGCTTTCACGGGTGCTGCTGGGGGGGAAAAAGAAGAGAAACAGTCTCCAGTTTCAAGATTTTTAGACCACAGTTTTTAGATAACATGTGTTGAAGAATGGATACAAAAATTTGAACTATCAGGCAAATAATGTAAATGGAAACCAATCAGCATGGTTATAAAGGAAGATGTCACATGAATGTATGTATAGGAAAATAAAACAAATCTACAAATACTAAATAAAAAATCATTTCAAACAAAACAATATTTTGGGGAATTTTATTTGTCAGATGCCCAGTGGCATTCGTGAATATGTTTCTTTAGTTTCAGTTATACATGGAAGCAAAATTTAAATAGGTATTGCCTGGATGAAGGAGTGCGAAAACTCAGTGGAAACCCAGGCTTTTTGGGATACTTTAAAAATGTCTGGAATGAAAAAAGAAGGGTGGAGTTGATCAAGGCATTTCAAGATGACTGTACAGAAAGATGACTGTACTGAAATGGACTAAACCCATTTTTTGGTTTCATAGAGAAAAAAATCTACAGTACTGTGCAAATGTCTTAGACAGGTGTGAAAAAATACTGTAAAGTAAGAATGCTTTCAAAAATACATATTGTAATTGTTTATGTTTACCAATTTACAAAATGCAAAGTGAGCGAACAGA